CTCCGCCCTTCTCCTCCTCCGCAGGAGAGAGGAGCGGAGGGTGGTCCCTAGGGGGGGCCCTGTCGGCTGAGGGGGGCCAGGGGCCGTGGAGCTGGTGCAGGGACTCCGAGCTGGAGCAGCCCCGGAAGCCGTCGGCCTGGAGCTCCTTCAGGTCCCTGCCGCGGAGGCGCTCGGGGACCTCGCAGGGGACCGTGGAGCAGGAGCCCCGGAAGCGGCGCAGCCACTCCCAGAGGGACCGGGCGAGGCAGGCACCGCTCCAGGGGTTCCCGTTCAGCCGCAGGTACTCCAGGGCCGCCAGGGGCGCCAGGGCCTCCCCCTGCAGCTCGGAGAGGGTGTTGTTGAACAGGAAGAGCAGGGTCAGCCGGCGGAGGTCCCGGAAAGCTCCCCGGTGGACACTCTGCAGCTGGTTCTGGTGGAGGAGCAGGCGGTCCAGGTTGACGAGGCCCCGGAAGGCGTTCTGCTGGAGGCCCCGGAGCTTGTTACCATGGAGGAAAAGGTGGCTCAGGTTGACGAGGTCAAGGAAGAGGTCCTCCTGGAGGTAGCCGATGTGGTTGTCCTGCAGGTAGAGGTACTGCAGGTTGTGCAGGCCTCGGAAGAGCCCACTGGGCAGGGAACTGAGGCCACACTTGTAGAGGTGCAGGGCGTGGAGGTGGACGAGCCCGTGGAAGGTCTCAGCTGCCAGCTCCCGCAGGTGGCGGTTGTCCCCCAGGTCCAGCTCCTCCAGGCGGGTGAAGTCTTTGAACGTCTCAGGATCAATGAAGGTGATGTTGTTGGAATAGACCCAGAGGGTGACGATGGAGGGGCTGAAATGGCCCCTCAGCAGCAGCGAGATCTGGTTGTTCTGCAGGAAGATGCGCTCGCTGTCCTCCGGAATCCCCTCCGGGATGGTGAGGAAGTTGTGGGACTGGCAGCTGACCGTCATGGGGGACGGGTAGCAGACACAGTCCACAGGGCAGCCCTCGGAGGCCGGGATGGCCAAGCCGAGGAGCAGGAACAGGAAGAGCTCCAGGCATCGCCCTGGAAGGAGAGAAGGTGCAAGAGAGTGAGCAGACCCACAGGAACGCTCCTTTGCCCGCGTGGGGCCCAACAGGCCTCCTCCTTGTCCTGAGGCTGTCCCCAGGTCCAGGCCCTCTTCCTCTCCCCCTGCCCTAAAGCCAGTCAGATCACCTTCCCACTCCCAGGCTGGCCACAGAGAGGGTGGGGCAAGGCCTGATCCTGGCAGCCCTCGCGGAGCATAGTTTTCGGGGGTGGGTCTCCCTGGCCATGGAGACGAACACTCAGCCTGTTCTCCCTCAACCCCATGCTCTTCTAAGAGCAGCCGTGGACTGTGTGCTCTCCTGTGCTCTCCTCTGTGAGGCCAGGGTAGAGCTAGGAGCTCCCCCCATTAGCTAGCTGTGGTGGCCTCCCCGCATGGCAGACCCCCACTCCTCCCTCCTTCCTGGACACACACCAGCTGCTGTCCTTCCAGTCTGTCTCCCAGGCATGATATTCCCGAATACTGCCGAAGAGCAGGATCAAGGCCAGCTCCCCCTCCCTTAATCTATTATTTATTCTCTGAAATATTAATGCCCTGCCCTTTGCCAAGTGGCACCAAGGTTGCTATAGCATCCGACTGTGAAAGACGTTTAATTGCCATTTGGGTTTTAATCCCCCCCAATTAAATATTCACTCATGTTGGGAGCCCAAGTGGGGCAGGGGGGCTGGGATCCCCTTGGCCTCCACTGCTCCCGAAAATCAGGGCCCCTCTTGCTTATCTGGGTGGGAAGGCAAGCGTGGAATGAACTGGGCAGCTGGTAAGGAATCCTCCAAGGTTGCTGCCCCTTCAGTCGACCCAAGGGCCGGGACTACAATTTTCAGAATTCCCAGACGGCAAGGCTGCTTCGTCCCAAGGCTGTGGAGAGCAGAGTTGTTGTTCAAAGATTTGCCTTGGGCCTCTGTGTGTGTGTGTGTGTGTGTGTGTGTGTGGGGAAAATGTTGCCCATTACGCTAGACCCTCCTTTCCTCAACCATACTGTGTAGACTCAGCAGCACTGGGCCGGGTTCACCCATATCTGCAAGCCACATGACTAAGTCCTCCCTTTGTCCTCCGCCACAATAAGCCACCCAACGTCTTAAGGCCAAACCAGATGGGCTCGTGCTTTACCTGTGATCTCCCAGGACACCCCCAGATCCTTCTCACAAGCATGACTGAGCCAGGGGCTGTCCCTTTTCCTACCTCACTTTAGAACCCCACGTTCCTCACCATTGTGGGTTAGGCCCAACAGTCAAGTCTATCATCCTCTGGAACCTTGAGTCTGCCTTCTGAGGTGTCAGCAATTCCTGCCCCCCCCATTTCGTATTAACTGCTGATGTGATTAGCATCTCTTCTGTCCACTTGTCTGTGAAGATGCTGAAGGCAACCCTGGATGGTACCTCCCTCCATGTTGACACAGAACCATTGAAGACCATGGGTCGGGGAAGGTGGTTCAACAGCTGCAAATCCATCCAGTGGGGGGGGCCACCCACCCACCCGCTATCACAAAGGAGGCTACAATCAAACTGATCAAACTCCTGACTAGAGTCAAAGAACACTGCATCCACAACATTCCCTTCGTCTACTAATCTAGACACTCCGTCAAAAAAGCACGAAGAGCTGATCTGCATAAGTTTTACAAGGCTTGCAAATTACAAGTTACACCGCCGCTGCTGCGGCTGCTGCTGCGGAGGGGGCCCGTCTCCTTTCCGTCGGCTGTCCAGAAGGGCGGGACTGGAAGGGACCCCAGGAGTCCTGCCCAGCCCTCTGTACACGGCGGGATCCCCTGCGCCATCCCTGATCCACGAGCGGCGTCTGCCTCGCCCTTGACTGCCCCCCGCCCGCCTTCCGCGGCCCCAGCAGGGATCTGGCCAGGGCTGCGAGGGGGCCCCAAGGGGCTGGG